GATTGCATGATAATGATGATTTGATTTAGTGTAAATTATTAAAAAAGTATTGTGTTTATAGTTTGTATTATCTTTGCTAAATTTTTTTGTTAAATTTGATAGTTAAAGTGGATTAAATTTATTTTATGAAATTTATCATATGTTTTTTTCTATGCTATTTTTTGGTAATTATATAAGCTTATCATAAGAAATTTTGATTTGATTATAAGATTTTATTTTATATGATTCTAGAAAATTGTTTATTTCATATGATTCTAGGAATTTTTTTAAGTTTTTGTTATTAAAAACTTCTTTAACTTATCTCTTAAAATTTTGGTTATCGTAAGCGGTACTTTTTGCATTGTTGAATTTGTGATTGTTTTGTATTAAACAGTGTCGATTTTTGCTACAATGTCTGTATTTGGTGATCGTGAATGGATGTATAATAAGTTTGAATCTGAAGGTGTAGTTAGTAAAGAATGGGTTGACAATGTCATGAAGTTTGTGGATATTTGTTCCTCGAATCCCAATGCCGATCGGTCTAAGAATAACATGCGTTGTCCGTGCAAGTCATGTAAGAATTTAAAATTTGGAAGTAATGCAACCATAATAGAGCATATCCTGCGATTTGGTTTCACTCCAAATTATTATGATTGGGTTTGTCACGGAGAAAAGCACGGTGATTATGTTCCTCCAAAACGATGACGACTTGAACGACATGAGAATAGCACACATGTTCCTCCAAAAGCATGTCCTGTTTGCATGGATCAGCTTGAGTCTTTTAGATTGCCTAATGGTGGCAAACAATCCTGGTTTGACTCACATCGACGATTTCTTCCGACTGATCACCCGTTTCGTAAAGATAAGAAAAATTTCATCAAAAAATTTCATGAGTCGATCCCGAGACGACGTCGAAGGAGGTTGTAGCAACCCCTTGGCCAATGAGATGGATGCTTCAGCATCACCTCCGACCACGTCACACACACCTTTGCATTCTGGTGCTAGCACCGCTGGTAGGGTTATTTATCTTCCCAATTATTCATGTTGAATCATTCATATATAACGAAAAATGTTTATATTAATAATTGCAGGATCGCATACATTAGTACCTGAGTCCAATTTACAATATTCAGACAATGAGAGTGAGCATAGAGAAAATGAGGTGGATGACTGAGAAGAGGAGGACGATGAGGAGGATGAGCAGTTGGACCCTCTAGTGAGGGATCAACATGTATACGTTCCTAATGGGAAGTAAGTTATGATGAAAATTTAAAAAAAGTTTAATATATCATTATCAATTTATCACATATATTGATTTTTTTTATGAAATCATGCGAGGGTAAAGATCACTACTATTGCGTGTCACCTAATCACACCCTCATTTTATTTGAGAGGGGATCCTGAAGGGACAAAGTGGAAAAATGTTGGGCCAGAGACGCGAGATTTTTACTGGCAAGAGTTCCAGGCATGGTTTTCATACATACTAGAACACTTATATCTTTTCAATATTCTATTTTAAAAATAATTATAAGTATACAATGCATACTTCTTATTATTTAAACTTAAGTTTACAATGCGACAATGTGATGATTACATATAATCCATATGTTTATTATTTTCATTATGTATTTCATTGTACAGGCTGATTTTGTACAATTGAAACAAATGGCTGAGGAGTCAGGCCTTAAAGTCATGGATCAGGAGATTTGGTTTGAGGTAGTTGGTGGCTTTGATCAAAAGAATTGGATTAAGGGAGTCGGAGATCTTGCCGATCAAATGAAACCCCTTAAACCTATATATCAAATGAGTACTAGTGATATTTCAGAGATTGAGTGGGTGAGAGCGGAGAATGAGGTCATGAAGACAAGGTTGGATAAGATTGAGTTCACAGTTGCTGAACAAATTCAAAGAATGTGTGGTGGAAATCCTCCGACACCTCGAGACCCTGACGATGGTATGGGAGGCTCAGGAACTGGTTGTGTGGCATGAATAAGTTATGACCTTTATGTGTTTTATTGAATATTGTGCTGTGATTGAAAATGTATTGGATTGAATTGTGTTTTAACGAATACTCTGTTGTGATTGACCATGAATTGAGAAAATATTTGTATTTTAATGAATTTGACAAATGCTGTGTTATTTCACTGCTGTTATTTATATGCTGTATTGTTTCATTGTTATTGTGTTGTTGGTCATAAGGAATTGAGCAGATTCTGGTTCTGATATCAGGTGCATCTGCGACGGAATTATTCCGTCGCAATTTCCGTCGCAAACAACAAATTAAGAATGCAGAAACTTTGTCGCAGATTCCGTCGCAATTTGCTACGGATTTAAAGTTCCGTCGCAAACAAAGGATCTGGTAATTCCGTTCAGATGCCGTCGGAAAACTGCGACAGTACCATAATTCCGTCGCAAATATAGAAAGTGCGACAATTTATTTGCGACAGATTTTTTCTATCGCAGAGTCAGCGAAATTTTGTAGTGTCACCCTTTAACACTGATCAATTAAGACAAACCAAAGGCATCAAACAAATGGATATTATACACTTGATTCTAGGAAAGTGGTAAGAAGCTTCCCCTTAGTTTTTCTTCCCCTTATTTATTTCGGCCAAGGGCCTTGTAATGCAGTACCACATTGTATTTTTATTCTCTTTACTCTTTGAGTAAAATATTTGAAGCCATGTCCAAAAAGTATTTCATTTGCCTTTAATAACCAAAATAAAGTCCTTCACCTCCCTTTGAAGCCATGGCCAAAAATCCAAGAGACAAGGACAAACAAAATTGCTTTGTGTATGTTGTTTTCTTTTCTAATATTCCCTACTTTGAATTAAACCTTCCCCCACCTTTTCCTACTTCAAACCCACGAAAATACATCCCCTTTTGGCCTTAGAATCCATCCCAATCCATTACAAAACACAAAAGACCAAATCAGGAGACAAGGATTAAACATGTCTTTTGTCTTGGTGTTAAAATCATTCAAAACCATCCCCCCACACATCCCTTTGTCCCATGGCCGAATTCCTCCCCCCAAACATCCCCCCAAATCAGTTCTCACACCTATAATAAGGCCAAAGGAATAAACAATCAATCCCTTGATGTGTCACATACCTTACTTTGCATAAATGGACAAAAGGACACACTCCCTCAC